CATCGCCTTCACTGTTCCACCAGCAGCAGGATTCATTTAGGCCTGAGCTGTGTGAACACCAGCTTTTCCTTAAATAGGCAGAATAGATGGCGCTTGTTGGGGGGATCGGTCGGCGAGCAGCGACCCGCCCTCCAACACAAACCCCCGGACAGGATGACATACGAGGTGCGGGCCGCCATCGCTCACGGCGACGCTAAATCCTGAACGCCGGGAAGAAAGACGACCACAAAAGACATAATGCTCCATTTCCCCTAATAAGGCGGTAGATCAGCGGAGCAAGCAGCCGCCGAGGAGGCCGAGCGCAGGGCGAGCTGCCGAGGCCGTAAATCCACACCGGCTTCTGATGGCGGGACCACGGAGAGGACCGGCTCATCATAACATACGCTGGGAGAAATGACTTATGGCTGACTTGTTAAATTACCAATAACATGCAGTAAAATCACTTGGAAGAAAAAGTTGTAATTTACAAGTTAACAGGAAAAAACTGTCAATAACATCCACATCAAAAATCTTGTGTGGTATTTACATCACTTTGGATAAAAGCTAAATGAATTTGTATGAAACTGTAAAATTCTAAATGGTAATTTGTATTTTTACAACATTTGACTGTAAATTAACTTTTAAAAAGACAGAAAAAGGTAATTCATTTACAGTTTTAAAATTATTTGACAGATTTTCCTGTTTTGTTTAATTATGGGTCTTATTAGTGAAGCACGATATTAAAATTTCTGGCCGATACCGGTAGCCGATACTAAGATTTCTGATATCGCCGATAACAGATATTACCGATGTCGATGTTCAATTTTTGTTCACATTGAAAAATGAGTGTAAGTACGCACTGTGAGAAAACTATTCAAAAACAGCCCAAACCAAATTAGACCACATCGTCTTCTTTGTTACGAAACAAAAGTAAAACATATTTAAACATATTTAACATTCAAGTCCATTTAAGTAAAAACATCTGTGAAATAGCAGCGATATCAAATGTAGAGACGAAGACGCTGATGTTAGACAATCATCGTTTTTTTGCATCGGCTAAATTTGCTTATCAAACTGATACTGATACATCAAAAAAGACGCTAATATCGGCCGATACCGATGTGGTCACCGATATATCGTGCACCCTTAGTTAATATCGAGCAAAAACCACAGAAAAAAAGTGTTAGTGTCCACGTTAACTGTTAAAATAAAAAGCCTAAAATTGTAATATTCACATCCAGGATCCGTATCTTTACTAATAATAACTAGTTCTAACGCAATGTTGACAATTTCTTTTTTACAGTTTTTTAATCAGAAAAACAATTATTTGCCGTTATGTGAAAGAAAAATTATGTATATTAAGGATTGCAAATATTTTTAAACTGGTTTTTTAACAGATTTTCCTTCTGGTAAAAACTAAAGAAAAAGTATTAATTTAAATGTTCAAACTTTAAATATTGTCCACATCAAAAATCTGTATTTTCAAAAATAGTAATTTATTCTTTTACTGCTGTAAAAGACTACTAGACTACTGACTGTATCTAAATCAGCAAAAACACCTTTATTTTACAGATGTTTATCATTATTTGAACAATAAATTATACATATTATGGAATAAAAACTTTTGATTTTTATCCGTCTCAGAATTACACAATACCTAGTGAAATCGTAAAAAAAAAAAAAAAATTGTTACAGCAAACTGTCCAAATTAAAAATCCATATTTTCTTCTTAAAGTAATTTTGCATGACCGTAAAAATCCAGTTTTGTTGTATTTAAATTAGCATAAAGCTCATTAGTTTATGGATATTCCTCATTTCCCCCATTTTTCACAGCTTGTAAACATTACAGCATTCCACTATTTTATTACCTGTTCTTTTTACTCTTGCTGCTTTTTTGTCTTTATATATACATACACATATATGTCTCAGTATCCCTCCTACATTTAGCTACAGAGACCTGGATGCAACAGGTTAGTTTCTGCGGTAAAGTTGGACGTGTTAACATGAAGGTCTATAAGGAGTGACTCAGTTTTGGAAGCAGCCTCTAGTGGCCATTGGAGGAACTGCTGTTTTGTTTTTTTGTTGGTTTAATTTTTTTGAATTGGAGGCTCGTACTTGAACCACTTTATCTAGAGACAGAACCAAAAGTGGATTTGAAATGTCTTTTATATTCCATCACACCTCAGCAAGTTCTAGTTTCTATTTTTCTTAATTTTTATGGCGTGCCATTTTCCCCGAGTCCCTGATCTCGCTTGACGAGCCCGGCATCGAGGCCAACAAACACTTTGAATTCTTGTGTGGACTTTTCACTTTCCAGCGAAGGTGATAATAATAGGAGCTGCCGCAGCAAAGCACTTCAGACAATAAAGGCTCGTCTTGAGAGCGCTGCTACTGGCAGATCCAGTCCAGGAGGTCCTATAATTAGAGCTACAGGCCGAATGTGAAGGCTCTAAAAAGCCAGACTGCGCTGCCACGTTAGTCAGCCTCGTAAAGATGCTGTTTTATATCCAAATAAATGTGTGTGACTGGGTGTAGGAAGGACAGAAATAGAGGCAGAGGAGGACAAAGAGTTAACCGGAGTGTGAGTGTTATGGAGGCTGCTACAGACACTGTGGTGTACGAGAGGAGAGAGCAGCGGGTTAGTCATCTAGCACTGAGAAACATGATTGAGATTATGCAGTGCATCCTCCCTTCCGGTAAAAACTGCAGCGTCAGCTCGATGCACCGAGCGAACGGGATTTTGTGTGAATCTGCTTCGACTACACGAGGCACCAACCGCCGACGTCAGAGCGGCTACAGAAAACCCCCACATGCGCCGTCATGGCTCGTCGAGATCACACCAAAAAGCCTTGGTTGGGTTTTAAAAACGCCGTTTACGGTGGCGCTGGAGGCTGCGATGTGTGTGTTAGGACCCAGCGCCGGCCCGCTCTCCGCTGGGAGGCAGTGCTCCTCCACAAAGGAGACAGATTGTCAGCGGTTTGTTCGGTTTCTGGAAGCCATCTGGAGCTGACAAACACACATAAACAAACACTCAGCCATTAACAAGCTCCAGCACCAGCAGAAGCAGGGCAGCTCGGCAGAGAGGACCAGGAAGCACACATCAGGCCCGCTCCAGAGCCAGCGCAGCCCGTTTCCTTTCCTTAAACCGATGATTTCAACTTCAGGAATAAGCATCACGGTGTTTCAAACACTAAACGAGCGCGATCACCCTGAGTGTTGTGCATCACGTCTGATGAGCACACAGATGGTGATTTGTGTTGAGCTTCTCCTTTGAGGCAAGTTGCACATTGTTTCTCAGTTGTTGTGGCTGTTTGTTCTCACACGGCACGAATACACTTTAAAAGCAAGAGCAGCGCACATTTACCCGTTGAAATTTACAGGAATTTTTGCAGCAATGGCTCTTTTTATCTCACTTTGCAAAGCTGTAGCTACAGCTAGCCAGCTAACTTTGTCACCTTGATGTTATCAATCCATTAAATGTGATCACACTCATACATCCGGCCCAGTAGAGACCTTTTCCACCGTCTACTGGGGAGGGGATGCAGACAGACAGACAGCTAGCTCTGGGCAGCATCTGTGGCTTCACCATCGTCTTTGTGTCCCTGAACACCTACCAGGACCTGAAGAGGTTCGCCAACGAATGGCGGCGTGCATGGATGCAGCGCCCCCTTCAGGAGACAGCGTGAACGTTTAGTGTCTCATCCCAGACGTTCATTCTGCAAAACTTTAATGACCCTGAAGAAACGCTCTCATCCTGCCTGTACTACTGTCAGCAAAATGACAATAAACCTGATTTGATTTGATTTCACATTAAACCGCACATTTTGCCGTAAAGAAATACAGTAAAATACTGGCGACCACCGTTTAATTTTACAAGAAAATCTGTTAAAGTAGCAGCAAAACCTGTGTGAAGGACACGAGTCGGCTTTTCTCCTGCTTGCTGCTCAACCTGGATGCAGATAAACAGTCAAACAAGGACTTCTCGAGAGCCGAGCGACACCAACGAGCTAAAACTCGCTGCCGTTCTCGACAGCAGTGACCAAGCATTAAGGGGAAGTGGACAAAGTGGAACATATATATATATAAATATATACCTGAAACCCTCCCGTCTCCCCATGGCAAGGCTGGTGTGGTCTCAAACACACAGGCAGGGAAAGCATGCACAGGCATGAGTGTGCATTCAGTACGCATTCATATTTATAGATATAAATGGTGCTTTCTTATACACATGCCAGCTACAAAAGTACCAATCTCCCGAACCCCGTTTTAGTTTCGTTAGAGTATCCCAGCACAGCCATGCCTACGGCCACAGGAAGAGGGGGCAGGACGGGTCGGACGCCCTGCAGACAGCCGACGTCGTGGCTCATGCTGTCGATTTTCAGGGTCTGCATTCATTCTCAGGATTGTTTGTGCACAAAGATCTGTTGGGCTGGGTCTGAATTCCTGTTCTGACTCTGTGAATGAGCACAGACCCGAGTGTTAAAGGAGGAGGAGGAGGAGGGTGGGGAGGTGGTGGGGGAAAGGAAGGATAGTAGTGACCCATGCAGCAAAAAATCCATCACCCAGCTTGGAGTCTTACCCTGTCCTTCACTATGAGACACTTTGCAGGGGGGAGGAGACAGACAGTGGACACAGAGTTAGTCAGGGTTTGTACAAGATGGAGAGAAAAGCTGCTGCTGCTGCTGCTGCTGCTGCTGCTGGTGAGGAACACTTCCAGGTTTCTCCACCCCAGACAGGACGGCAAACGCTCGGAGAAATAACAAAAGCCGGGAGTCCCTCTGTTCAGTTTAAATCCATAAGTGGATTTGAGCAAACACTGGCTACGTTCCAATCCGATCGCTCGCTCGCTCTCGTCTATCAGATTTTTTTTTTTCTTTTTTTGTCCACGGGTCAAAGTGGGAGAAAAACTCAAGAGCGCCAGATGTGAACGCAGCCAGTTTGTGTTTTTAACATCACAACATCACGGCACACACACCGAGAGAGAAAGAAAGAGAGAGAAAAAACACAAAAAAGATGCTAACCACTTTGTCCTCCTTTGTGGCATGCAGTCCGGGTAGCAGTGAGGGTTTAAGAGAAATAAATGACAGAATGGGAAGAGATGCGGAGAGTGAGTTTGAGATGTGGGGAACAGAAGAAGAAGAAGAAGAAGAAAGAAAAAAAGGGGGGAGAAAGAGGATGTGGTGCAAACAGTTTGTTAATAACATTCTGCACAGTCCATAGCTTCACATTGAGAAGTGTGAGGGCGGCGGCGGCATGTGGATGTATGCGGCCGGTGACATGTGAGGCTGCGGCAGCGACATGCATGACCCGACTCGGCGTGACTCATGACCTGTGACGACGACGCGATGTGTCACCAAGACGAATTTGGGACACAAAAAGCAACATGGAGCACAATCTTCTTACAGTCCCAGCCCTTTCTGAACCTCCTTTAAACGTATATGCAACAATAAAAATGCGTCCCGGTCTTTTAATTTTTAAATATTTACATGTTTAAGACACTTTTTGCCTGATTTGTGCTGGCTGGAAAGCACTAAAGGGAGCAATGATAGAGAGAAATAGGAAACTTGAATTAGTTTCTGGGCGTTTTTTTGTTTCGATCACATTTTTCTTCACTGTGGGATCATTTTTCGCTGCAATATGAAGTCCTGCACCTCATTTTTAATTCGTTTCCATCCTTTCTCCTCTCTGCTCGGTGTAAACACTGCCTGCAGTTCAGCCGAAAACTTCCTGAATTTTTGTCCTGTGACTGTTGGTCACAGCCAAGTCACTAGAGTTTCACGGTTGTGTGAAGGAGCACAGAATTTTTCATTTTTTACAGAATCTAAACTATTTTTCCCCTAATTTTTTAAATGAGACACGTAGAAAAGGTGATTTTGATGAAATATTGTGATATGAGACTGTTGGAAAGTTAAAAATCGAACCATTCTGTCTGTTTTAACAGTTTCTGGCTGACAAATGATGTCATTTTGGTGATTTTTTTTTATGCCTTTAAAACTTGCTGGCCGGTTTTGAGCTTCAGAACACTGATGTGAATAAATGAAACACGTATTTAATAATCCTGTACGCTCGTTCTAATGTGCAGCAGGTGCTCGGCTTCGTGGACGGTGTTAATCAGTGTTTGTGTCGTCACGTCGCTGCGACGCCTTCTGCAGGACGCCGGGCGGCACTACACACATCTGTTAGAAGGAGTTTATTAATTATTACGTTAAGCT